TTAGGAAAAAAAAAGTGGTCCGCCGTATGGACATGCAGGGTTCCAGCTGACACTCCTCAACCACCAAGCAGGCCGGATACACGAACGTCGAGGAAGTGGCCACGGCCTCATGTGTTGCGATTAGGCATGAGTGGGGCGATAATATCCTTGCCAAGGAAGCAACCACAAGGTTGCTACGTTCGTGCGTCGGTCTGAAGACCACCATCGTCGTCATAACCGTTGTCACGAGCTTACAGCCATGAGCATCAGAACCACCATGTCGACGTCATCACCAGCATCCAGCATCGTTTGGCATCCTCGTCATCGTCCTCATCATCATCAACAACATCATCATCGTCATCGTCATCATCACCATCAATATCATCACCACGGCCATCATCGACGTTTTCCTGAATCACGTTCTTGGTACAATGATCATCATCGTCGGCATCATCATCACCAGTTTCAGCTTCGAAGCAGCAACGAGGTTCAACAGCAACATAAGCTTCAGCACCAGCATCACCATCATCAACAATGTTCTCACCAATTTCATCAACATCACCATCATCACCATTACCGTCGTCCGTATTTTCTTCTTCATCATGGTCAGTATCACTACCATCACCGTCGTTACCATTATCCTCAGCACTGTCTTCATTTCATCGTTATCTTCAGCATCATCGTCAGCATAATCGTCATCAGCATCGTCATCATCATCATCAGCATCATCATCATCATCATCACCGTCATTATCACCACCACCGCCACCACCACCACCATCATCATCATCAGCGTCGTCGTCATCATCATCAGCATCAGGTCGCAACACCATGACCATCGCCATCGCCATCACAATCGCCATTACCACCACCACCACCATCGTCATCATCATCATCGTCATCGTCGCCGTCACAACATAGTGATCATCACCGACAACATAATCATCATCGTCGTTGGTATTGTCAACGTCGTTCCCGTCGTCGTCATTCATTGTCGTCGCCATTACCGTCATCATCAACATCACCACCATCATTATCATCCTAGTCCTCGCCTATCGTTCTCGTCCGCGTCGTCGTTGTCGCCATAGTCATCAACCTTTTCATCACCATTATCACCATCACCATCATCCTCGTCGTCACCATCCTCATAACCATAATCATCATCATCGTCATCATCATCTGCATCTGCATCACCTTCACCAGCTTCGTCCTCATCACCATCACCATCATCATCATCAGCAGCATCATCATCGTCGTCATCATCAGCTTCATCAGCTTCATCCGGCTCATCATCATGACGACCGTTGGTGACCGCTGTCCTCACCATCAGCATCAACACTACCTTCTTCCGCCTCACCATGATCGCATGTACCAATGTAGTCAGGAGTGTAGATTGCGCCTGTTGGCGCCGTTCTTACTGACGATCATGCTCATGCTCGTGGTAACTGCAACTGCCGAGTTCAACCAGAACATCGTTTAGTCCACGACATCGCTGTTTATTGGCTGAGGGTTCAGAAAGGGGAGAGTTTAGGGATAGGGATAGCTGCTATTGGTGCTCTCTTCTCACCCCTTCAGAGTTTTAGTGAACCCTAAATGTGTTGCCAACAGCTTTCAGTCCTGAATTCTCGAAATAGGGTTCGGAAAGTCACTAATGATTCCATAAGTGCGACTCTAGGGGGCTTAGGGGCCGAAAATGGGGTCCTGAAGGGTGCATCAGTACGAAGGGTATGCCCTTGTCGTCTGCATGCGAAGAAATGCTGAAGTCGATGCACCAAACACCCTAGTCCAATCATGAGGACTCCTTTATCACGACGATGTAAGACCTACAGCCCTAAACCCTAAACCAACCCTAACCCGATCCCGCCCGTAAGATCCGTACAACCACTAAATCCGAAGCCTAAACCCTAAACCCTCGAAGCCCTAAACCCTAAACCAACGAAGCCCTAAAACCCTAAACCCTCGAAGCCCTAAAACCCTAAACCCTCGAAGCCCCAATCCCTAAGCCCTAAGCCCTAAACCCTAAAACCCTAAAAGCCCCAAACCCTAAACCCTCGCTCAGCAGGGCGATGGCTTCAACGGCTGGGTTGCGTCGGGCCCTCGTCTCTCATGACCCTGACCAATTTTGTTTTTTGGTTCAGGGGTGTTAGGGTTTGGGTTTTTCGGGTTTAGGGTTTGGGTTTTAGGGTTTAGGGTTTGGGGTTTTAGGGTTCAGCGTTTGGGTTTTAGGGTTTAGGGTTTAATTAGGGTTTAGGGTTTGGGTTTTAGGGCTTAGGGTTTAATTAGGGTGTAGCGTCAATCTTATAAACCGTGGATAAGTACCAGCGGCAGTTCTTAGGGTAATTTGTTGCAGAGAGAAACAACACGACTCCCTGATAGCTAGACCCTAAACCGCTAAACCCTGATCCCTAAACCCCCAAGCCCCAAGATCCTGTCTTATGGACCTTGCAAAATGAGTTCTAGTGTTGCGACCGAAGGCGTGTACCCAGAAAAGACCTCTTGCATCAAACTTTGGAATATTTTCCTTAGAGGCTTCCAAGGAGCAAAAACTCGAACAGCACACTCACTGCATTCTTGCAAAACCCTAAATCCCGAAACCTGCCTCCAAGGTGGCCTCCCCACCCCGAATCCAATGAGTTTTCACAGCTCACAAGGAAAGAGATCAACCTTGATTGCTGAACCCTAAACCGAATTAGCAGGCAATGAATAAATAATAATAAATATATATATATACATGCGATAGTAGTGAAAGCATATAGTATTTGAAGTAATTAGATGGGTAAAACTTGAAAAAGTAGGTCATTGCGACAGCAGTAGCAGTAGTCAATGGGTCATAAAACCCTAAACCCTAAACCTTAATAGGCCTTGAACAAACAGGTCACTGAGGCCACAGCAAGCACAGGAAACCGCTAAAGCGTAGACGCCTAGCATTTTCTGGCTGGGTACCTTTCTCACGTTTTGGTTCATGGGGGCTACATGGCTTGTTTTTGCAAGCCTTGATCCTGGTTTCGGGTTCTAGGGCTCGTGGTGTCGGGTTCTACAGTTTGGGGTGTTGTGTTAGTTGGCTATTCCGAGCTAGAAAGCCCTAGGTAAAGCCTGAATTCTAAGTCCTAAGGCCTCAGTAATCAGTAGTAGTTTCAATCCGATCCTCTAAATCCCAAACCCCCGAACCCTTGAGAAGCCAATGCAGGTCTGTGAAACCCGATCAAAGCTGAAATTTGTTCGCATTTTAAGGATAAACCATATATAACAATACATAACAGCTATTGAGTTTTGCTGTAAGCTCAGGGCTCAGACTTAATCTCCGAGGCTCTGCACTATATCAGGTTGAGGTTTGGGGGTTTAGGGTTTAGGGTTTAGGTGACTAACTGGAGAGCTGGCTGTCTGGTTGGAAGCTGTCACAACTGATGCTCATGATGCTGCACCTGACGGAGTGACTGTGTGGATAGTGTTGCAGCTGATGCTCATGATGCTCGGCTTCTTGGGGTGCATGTCGGCGTCTGGTGCGGAAATTGTCACAGCTGATGCTCAAGACATTGCGCGTGTCGGGCTGCTGGTGACTGTCTGCTGCCGAAGCCGTCGCAACTGATGCTCATGATGCTGCGCTTGCGCCGGTGCCCGTCGGTGCTGGTGTGGAATCTGTCGCAGCTGATGCTCACGATGCTGGCCTTGTCGGGATGCCTGCCGGTGTCTGCGGAAATTGTTGTAGCTCCAGCCTTTCAGAGTGCTTTCCGGTGTCTGGTCTGGAAACTGTCGAGGTGAAGCTCATGATTGTGGTCTTGCCGGGGTGCCTGCCAATGGTGGGGAAACTGTCTGCGTTCGGCGGAGTGCGGAAGGCAACCTCATGCGGCTGGTGGGGTTACGGCAAGCCAGCTCTTACAGCTGCTCGTCATCAAGAAGTCCTTGCTGGTGCTCGTGCAATGTGCAATTCATCTATTCATCTGGGTTTGGCAGGGCTCTTGCCTGGAAACTGTCGCAGGCCGTCCTGTCGATACCATCCTCGTGTCTAGAAACTTTGTCGGCTGATACTCGTCCCGCCTGGTGTGGAAACGGTCGCAGTTGATGCAAATGATGCTGTTTCCTGGTGGGAGCAAGCTGTCGCGGCTAATGCTAGCTGTAGGATGTCTCTGGAATTCTGGTGTAACACGACCCAGAGACTCCAATACCCCTTAATTAAGGAACATACCTTAAGTTATAGTAGGATCCCTAATATTGATTTAAGGTATATTCCTGAATTAAGGTATATTGGAGTCTCTGGGACTGTCAAGGCCGATGCTCATACTGTTGAACTGGTTGGGGTGGCAGCAGGCAGATCCCCAGAGACTCCAATACCCCTCAATTAAGGAATATACCTTAAATCATATTAGGGATCCTACTATAATTTAAGGTTTATTCCTTAATCAAGGGGTATTGGAGTCTCTAAGGACTGTTGCAGCTGATGGTCATGATGCTGTTGCCGACCCGATGCTGTGCACTGGCTTGTGGGGCGGAAGCTGTCGGAGCTCTCAGAGAGCCCCATACCCCTTAATCAAGGAATATACCTTAAATTATAGAGGCCTCAATATTATGATTTAAGGTATATTCCTAAATTAAGGGGCATTGGGCTCTCTGGGCTGGGCGGCAGGGTGCTTGTCTTGGCGCCGGGACACTTAGATGACTTTCCTCCTTCAGGGTTGGCTTCGTTTTTTAGAGTGAGTCCTGGCCGTATCATTTTTCTCTAAGGCCATACTTAAACCCTGAACCCTAAACCCTAAACCCGAAGCCCGTAACCCTAAACCCACACCCACAACCGTAAACCGTACCCTTATATCTGAGTTCAGGACCGGTCTGCCTGTGATGCCATTGGCGGGCTCATGAACTCCGCTGGAAGGCGGTGCTGAGGTACGGTTGATGATATAAATCCTGCATGACTCATAATAAGGAATATACCATAATTCCCATAGGTTAGGGTCCTTAAGGTAGTGCAGGATTTTGATCATCAACAGTAGTTTAGGGTTGAAGGCTCAGGGGCCTAGATGATTGCCTAGGTATATAGGATATAGGCCTTGGGGATTGGGGGTTTTTAGGGTACAAGGTTTAGCCCGAACCCTAAACCCTAAGGTTTAGTGACGTTTAGTGTTGTTCAGGGTTCAGGCTTGAGGCTATTGCACTGGTCTTTTAGGGGCTTGTCAGGCTCTCAGGGGTTGAGGAATGCTTGGGGTTGGGTTTAGGGGCTTAGAGATGTGGGATTTAGGGTTTAGGGGTTAGGGTTTAGGGGTTTAGGGTTTAGGGGTTTGGGGGTCTAGGTGGGTGACAATGCGGAAATGAACAAACAAAAAGAAGCAAACGCACGCGCGCACACACACACAAACACATATAAGCAATCAATCACACAAAGAAGCAGACACACACACACAAACACGCGTGCATACGTATGTAGTTTCATGCGTACATACGTCCGTACATGCGTACAGACAGCTCCGCAATTGCATATGTTCGGTTACCAAGTCGATGATTGACGCTGCACATTCAGCTTCTTGTGGGGAGGTAGCACGTTGCCGGGATCCCGTGACTCACACAAAGTAGTTCTCTCAACTGAAGCAGTAACTACACAAACGCAAGCCTCCGATGAAGCCTAAAAGCCGACTGGGCCGTTGAGATATTCGGGATTAGGGTGTGGGCGCTTGGGGGTGTTCGAGGCTGCAGGCTTAGATTTTTCCGCATCCTCCAATACGCCTTAAAAAGCCATGGAATAGACCCTTAAATCACATCGGGTGATCCTACTATGATTTAAGGCATATCCTCTCATGCAGGGATAGTGGAAGATCTGGGTTCGTGCCCTTTCAGATATTCAGGCATAAACCCTAAACCCTATATATGACTACTAGACTACCCTAGATCGTAAACCCGAAACCCCAGATCGTAAGCCCTAAACCCTAAACCCTAATTACCCTAAACCCTAATTGCCCTAAACCCTAATTACCCCGAGCCCTAATAACCCTAAACCCTACTACCTAATTACCCTAAACCCTAAAACCCTAAACCCTAAACCCGACTAATTACCCTAAACCCTAATAACCCTAAACCCTAATTACCCTAAAACCTAATTACCCTAAACCCCAAACCCCAAACCCAAAACCCTTAAACCCAACACCCTAAACCCTAAACCCTAATTAACCTAAGCCCTAATAACCCTAAAAACCTAGCCACAGTCTCCATTGTAGTTCCTTTTCTGGTTTAACCAGTTTTATATTAAGGAACGTAAAAGGTAACCCCAAAAAGGAACTACAATGGAGATTATAGGTACCATTCCTAAACCTTTAAAGGGACCCCAAATCCGAAACCCTAACAACCCTAATAACCCTAAACCGTTTCAGGTTGCCGCCCCGGCGGTCAGCTTAGCTCTGCTGCCGCAGACCCCGTGGTTGCGAGACCAAAAGCCGGCCCTGTCGGGCTCCTTGTAGAGGTTCCCTTTAAAGGGCTCTCTAAGGGATCTGTAGGGTTTTGGGCTCCTTTTGAGGGGTTCCCTTTAAAGGGTTTAGGGTTTTGGATTTTGGGTTTAGGGTTTTAGGTTTTAAGGTTCCCTTCATGGGCTCTATAAGGGAATCTATAGGGTTTGGGGCTTAGGATTCAGGCTTTAGGTGTGGGCTTCATTTTAGATTTAGGGTTTGGGTTTAATTTAAGGTTTGGGTTTAGGGCCTGCCCATTGCTTAGATGTTGTGCGCTCTTCGGCTTGCATGCTCTATTGTGCGTGCGTGCGCATATCTCTGTCTGCGTGTGCCTGTGCGTGCTTCTATATATATATATATATGTGTGTGTGTGTGCGCGTGTGATTTAGGTTTTGTTGAGTGGAGTCCCTGACCCACCGCAGGACAACAGGCCAATGTTTGGTGAATCAATACACTAGTCAAGTTTTCCAAGGTGTTGTGTTGTTGTGGAGCTCAGGCTGTTAGGGCTGCAGAGTTACTTCGGCAGCAGGGTTCTAAGCATAGTAGGGGACCGTCGAGCAGCTCCACAAATCTCTTCGGGCGTGTCTGTGTGCATGTGTTTTGTGCTTGGTTATTGGGCATGTTCTTCCACGCTCCGGCATGCTGATTCTGAGTTCCCCAGAGAAGGCAAGGAAGACAGCTCGGAAGTGCGTGTGAGATTGATGCCCGAGTCATTGTGGCGGAGTCTGAAACTTCTCGATGCAGAGCCTTCTACTCATGCAAGGGCTGCTTGCTCGACCGCCTTTTGTGGCAAGGATCTTTGGCTTCGTTGTCGTGCCTGTTTTGCGTGGGCCAGGATGATAAAACGTCGGAAGTGCGTGTATGATATCTTTGTCCGAAAGGTCTTCGCAGACCGGTATGATGGACGGACAAGCTTCTCGATGCAGAGCTCGCCTTAATGACGTTGATCGGAACCCGGTGTCTGCATGGATTTTCACACCGGTAGCAAGGCTCCCTTTGCTCGGTTTTGTGGGAGCTCGCGCAATCTTTTTCCAGCTGCTGGTCAGTTGTGTTGCTGGCGGGCGCGTTGGAGGTTGCATGCAGGCTGAATCATAAAAGAGCAGAGACAAAAACACAGCTAGCCACAGGCTTGTTCTGGCAAGGAAGATCAACTTAAGAAGTGCGTGTGACATTGTCAGTCCGAAGGTCAGCGCTGACCGTCATGCAGGACGTAAAAGCTTCTCGATGCAGAGCCAGCTGCATACTCCCGAAACCGTTTAGGGTTTAGGGTTTAGGGTCTAGGGTTTAGGGTTTATAGGGCCTTGATATGTGCCTAGATTATTTTTGGGGGTTCCGAATTATAGTTATGGTATAATGTACCCCAAACCCTATTCTAATTAATATAATATTGGTATAATGTACCCCAAAACCCTATTCTAATTATTGAGGCCCCTAAACCCTACACCCTGATAGTAGCCCTTGTAGAACCTTTTACAGACCCCTTTAAAGGAACCCCAAAACCCATTCTAATTATTGAGGTCCCTACATTATGAATCTGTGTGTCGCGGCGCCTGGGTGTCTCGTGAAATGGGTCTGGTGTTGAAGGCGGCGGCGTTGTTTCTTGTCTTCTCGCCAGCACCATGAGTTTAGAGTTTAGGGTTTATACTAGCCCTACCACCTTGTGGCTGTTCGTCAGAATGGAGACCAGCAATGTGTTTCCATGCCATGGCAGGTACTGGGCCCACTCTGCAGACTTTTGGCTGTGTGAAAAGTTTAGGTGTTAGGGTTGAGAGCAGAAGATCTGCTTGGGAAGAATCTTTCGGTGTTTGAAGAGCTCTAAAGCTGCCGTCGGCGCAGGTGCCTATGCATGTGGCACAATGAGGATCTTCAACTTCTGCTACCTGAGCTTGTGGCTGGTCATCTCGGTGCGATACCTCCGCCCTTGCGGCATACCGGATACTTCAACGAAGGGGCAAAGCAGTTCAGGGTTCAGTGTCTAGGATTTTTTGGCTTCTCTTTCAAGATAGTTCTGACTCTTAAACAAGTTTACGTGCCAGTAACATCGCTTGCAACACAGGTTGCCCTAAGTCCTAAACCCTAAACCCTAAACCGGTTGTCAGGATGGCTGCTCCTTTCAATCCTTCAACCGTGTACTGCTCGAAACCTCAGACCCTGAGGTCCCACACCCGGGTCAGAGCTAGTGTACTATATTTTAAACTATACTGTAATATGCTATAGTATCGTTGTTTATTATAGGGCCCTGCATCGTGCATCCGAGGACTGCTTCTGAGTAATAAAACCAGCATGTAGTCCGTAAATTGCGATTGCTGCAGTGCAGTATAGCCCCAAACCCTAAAGCCTAAACCCTGAACCGTAGTAAGTTGTAAGTATATTTCCCGCTTTAGATTCGGGAGGCTCTGATCCGTCCAATACTTCTGCCTGGAATGAAACTGTCATGCTTTTCCAGACCACCAAAAGGATCTAAAAAATAGATCCCCTAATTTGGGACCCTATACTACTAAGGGGTACTTTAAAGGAACTCCTTTGAGGGATCTATTTTTTAGATCCTGCCGGTGGTCTGGGTTGGAGCCTCCATGACTCTTCTACTTAAGGGCTCAG